AAAACTGCATGTGGCCCTCTTGCTCAGTAAGCAAGGCCCCAACTGTTCTCCAGCTGATAAACAATACACTACCCTTTATCATTTTGTACCTTTGGCTCAGTACTTCAGGAAAGGTTTTTGGGACAAAATGGTGTAAGTTGCAGTTGTTATTATGTTAAGGTGACCCTGCTGTTACTCTGTGAAAGAAGCCCCCATGCCACGCGATGTGGTTCCTTTCACTGGCTCATGCGTCCTGCAGTGATAACTGAGTCGGCGGCAGGAACCCCCATCGAGTGGCGGGGGGTAAACAGGTATTCGACACACCCGGAAGTACAGCGGCCATTGAACATTGAACAGCAATGAGCTGGAGAGATCTAACATCTTCTTTTACAGGCCGTGCTGACTCTTTCTGTTACCTTGCAGTGACAGAGTCATTATAATATGGGAACATTTGCAACTTACGATGATCCTTACGTTAGGTGTGACACTACTAACGTGCTCTAATCTTCTTCTTTTTTTTTTTTTTTTTCTAGTATTACATAGGTGTGGCCCTCAGTAGACACAATGCAGCCTCGGAGATTATTCCAACTCAAACTTGCCCATGGTTTCATCTAAGCTGGAAATTCCAAGAACATGACCTTAAAGGAGAATTATAAGACGAGTGATTTTCACTCAGCCTCATAATCTGAGCCGACCTGTGACAATGAGACTGTCACAGGTCGGCTCAGTAGATCGGGAAGTGAGCGAACACATACCGTCGCTCGCTCACTTTTCTATCTATCCCAGCAGAGAGCCGTGACGGTCACTCACGGCTCCCTGCAGGGATTTCCCCTCCCCTGTCTGATCCTCCAGCGCTGACTGGCGGAACGGACGGGGGAGGGGGCGGGTACAGCTGGCTCTGCCTCTAGATAGTTAGATAGGAAGAGCCAGCTGTCACTCACACAGCTGGGTGGATCCAGACAGTAATGTCGGGATCCGTCCCGGCTGCGGCGGTCTCAGTATACCGCGAGCTGTAGCTCGCGGTATACTGAGCTTTGGGTGACGGGAGGACGCTGGTTTGTGTCCTACCGTTACCCTTAGGAGAACTATGGGGAAAAGCCCTGACCCCATAGTTCTCCTTTAACAATGGAAATGGCAGTATTGTCTCTTTATAGTAGATTTTTCAGTTTAATTGAAATTGTTTTATCTGGAAACAAAAATAAAAGACGCAAGGAAGATACCTAGGAGTAAATAACGAATGGTGATTGTAACAGCAATATTAAACTATAATCAAGACATGTATTTATGGACCTGAACCCCACCACCACCCTCACCCCCA